AGTAGATCTCTATTGTAGAGTTGTGGTAGTAGAATTCTATTGTAGAGTTGTGGTAGTAGAGCTGTGGTAGTAGAGGTATGGTAATAGAATGCTATTGTAGAGTTGTGGTAATAGATCTCTATTGTAGAGTTGTGGTAGTAGAATTCTATTGTAGAGTTGTGGTAGTAGAGTTGTGGTAGTAGAATTCTATAGTAGAATTGTGATAGTAGAAATCTGTTGTAGAATTGTGATAGTCGAGGTCTGGTAGTAGAGTTGTGTTGTAGAGTTGTGGTAGTAGAGTTGTGGTAGTAGAATTCTATTGTAGAGTTGTGATAGTAGAATTCTATTGTAGAATTGTGGTAGTAGAGTTCTGGTAGTAGAATTCTATTGTAGAGTTGTGGTAGTAGATAGAATTCTATTGTAGAGTTGTGGTAGTAGAATTGTGATAGTAGAGGTCTGGTAGTAGGTTGTAGAGTTCTGGCCTCACCGTACTATGGGTCTCTGATGAGTTCTTGTTCATGAGTTCTTGAATTCTGGGTCTAAGTTGTTGGTAGTATTCTTGTACAAGAATATTTGAAAGAAAAGTAGTGTTGAAGGTCTGTAACTACTAAATGTTATATCTTATAATTCCCTTTGATTCATTATTTATTCTTCGGTATGATTGTATTTCACTTTTCACTAAATTATCAGAATCAAGTTTCACATCATGTTGTAGTTGGTGGGGGCTAGTCTTTTTTTTATCTACTTTGAAATATTTTGTTTTTATTTTGATTGTCAGGTATTTTTATATATATTACATAGAAGATTTATTAGAGAATAAAAGATGATAAAACCCTGTTGATACACTATTGATATATTACAACTGAAACAGTAGGGGTAGTAGCATTAGATTATCAATAACACTGACTGTGATGAACCTTGACCTTGAACTCTTTATCATTAGAAATTATAAAAGAAGTCAGATATTTATTACTATACTGACAAAATTAACCCTGAAGTAAAACTCCATTTTAGTTTGTTTGTATATAAATTAACTAAGAGTAAGATTTTATTATTTTTCAGTGGAAGCACTTCATCTTGCCCACCTGATGTCAGCTCATGGTTATTTTTTCCCTATTGATGATCATGTTTTAAGTGTAAAGAATGACAATACATATTACCGCTTTCAGGTTGGTTCATTTTCAATATTTTACCCTTTATTCATTCTTATTCATTCTTATCCATTCTTTCATTCATTTATTCTCATTCATTCTTATCATTCGTTCATTCTTACCATTCATTCATTCATTCATTCATTCATTCATTCATTCATTCATTCATTCATTCATTCATTCATTCATTCATTCATTCATTCATTCATTCATTCATTCATTCATTCATTCATATCATTCATTCATTCTTATCATTCCTTCATTCTTATCCTTCATCTCATCAT